TTACTTCTAAATACTAAATAAATATTAGTTTTGATTCTTTTAATTAATCAATTCACTTTGTGAATATACTACAACGACACAATATATATTTTCTTGAAACTAAAAAAAATTATTAATTTCCTTATTATATGTTAAAGAACTACCAAAATATATAAGTATTAAGTTGGTTGAAAATAATAAAAATATTTTATTATAGTCGTAAATTTGGCCGTACTCATATCTTACTTTTTTAGAGTTTGTCGTATTACCGTATCTGTATCTGATCGTACTCATATTTCATATTCGTATATTTGTTTCATAACTCTTTCTGTTGTAAAGTTAAGTTAATAAATCCCATTGACCTGCTTCGGGATGCTTGTAAATAAGTCAATCTATTGTGCCCCGATATGACCTTACCTCCGACCCCCCGGGGATGTTGGGAGGGGGAATTTGATGGGATACACTAAATTAGAGTTTATTGTAAAAAAGTATAAAGAAAAAAATATAGAGTAAAAAAGTCTTTAATTTTGATATTTATTTTTGTCCAAATATATTATTTGAAATTTTCAGATTTTCTTGTGACATTTTTTTCCTCTTTTGATCCATGCGTATTTTTTTTAAAAAGTGATTTTGTTTTTAAATTTTATTTATGCATTAAACATCTCCTAATTTTCTGATAGAATTTTAATATTTCGTACATTTATGTCATCCCTTGATTTATGCATTTTTTTTGAAAAGTGATTTTATTTTAAAATTATATTTATACATTAAATATCTCATAGTTTTATGAGAGAACTATATAATATTTCGTTTATTTTATAATAGATCACTTTGTTTGAATTTCAAATTTTGTTAATATGCGAACACCATAACAGTGTAACATGATATTTACACAAAATATTGTACTATTATATTTTGTCAAATATATATTTTCAAACAGTTTATCTCTGTTTTGAATTTATTACCACATGTACAAAACCTGAACACTGTCTTTGTTACACTATTTTTGTTATACTATGAAGAAAACACAGTCAACAGTTAAGAGATACACACAGTTTATTCAACACAATGAATTAATATGGCAGAAACACATAGTAAAAACATCGCATTTTACTAAGGCCAACGATTAACTTTTAACAACTAATTTTGATTTTCAAATGCCGAAGTTTATACGTATTTTTAAATGACAAACAAATTTTAAAAAATATACGATGTAGACGATCTTTACATCAAATTAGCTAAACAGTAGGATTTTTCCTTCAAAAACGAAATCCTAGATGTTCAGGAAATAATTTTAGGGCTTATCACTAAGAATGAAGTGGTTTTTGGAGAAGAAGAAGAAGCACAAATGTTTTCCGAAGATGAAGCGCTTCGCAAATAAATTTCTGCGTATCTAATTAATTAATTAAGATATATTCCTAAAACCGTTTTAAGAAAATAAATTTTAGGAAGAAGAGATAAAGAGATTTCAAATTAAATGACTATAAATTTCAGCGTCTAAGATAAATGTCTTATTACAAATTTTAGGAAATAAAATTTTATAAAATGGGCATTTATGTCTTTATATCTCAATAGAATATTTTTTTTCAAAATATTTTTTTTTGTGTGATTTTTTACAATTATGTCTAATTTTGTATACTAACTTTCAAAGGACCCTACCTCCCCGCCTAGGTTTTGCAGCTGAGCCTCATTCACAAATTTCGAAAACTTAGAATGATTTGGGGATTAGTTTGGGAGACAGGGAGGCAAGTACTTATACAGAAACTTAACATGATAAAAGTTTATTTTTTAAGTTTATCTAACATTATTTTTTTCCGGATTTTGAAAACAAAAAAGAAGCGCAGACTTATTCGGCCACTGATATCAAGAAACCATTAATGCCGAATTCCGAAGCCAATATTCAGGTGCTAATATGCAAAATTCCTCATTTTTTTGAATTTCAAAATTTCGAAAAATTCAATCCGTGGGTCCATATCTTTCATACTCCTATTTTACTGGTATAGATATTTTGGAAGAGTAACGAGTGAATCCTTGTCATACAGTTAAAATGAAGAAATTGTATTACGTCACGATGACTTGGTGATGAGTTGAGGAGCACAATAAGCCCATCCAGAATTCTAGTCTTCCTTCAACTAAGTTTAGTTGTTTAATTAGTTTGTTTGTTTTCTATAGAGGGGATGTATAAGAGAAAAGAGACCTAAAGTAAGAACAACTGAGAGGACTTTTGAAGTTTGACCTTATGCCAATTATAGTATTCTGTTTCTTTTCTTTTTATCAATTACGTCCTCTAATTTTCAACATAACATCAAGTTAATCTGATTACTAACAGTAAAATTTACTCAATTCTTTTACAAAAAAATGTTTGTGTCACATGAAGCACACATGTCATTTTTTTTTTTTTTTTTGAATGTCTTATTTTGCATCAATTTTGGCGGAAAATTGTGGTTGGACGGACGGACTTAAAATTTATTGGAAGTGTGTTTTTGGATGACAAAAGAAATTCTTGGCCTATCCTTGACGAGATAGGAGTAACTTGGTCGCTCAGGCTTGTGAGTTTGAGTAAAATCAAGGACAAACCTTAGGTGCATAAATCGGTCTCTCGATCTATACACTAGCTAATTCAGAACTTGCCATTCGATGAGGATTCGAATCCATATCAGAAACTTAAATACAATTCGTCCAAGTAATTGACGTCCATCCTACTAACCAATCACACTTTTTGTCACTTAGGAGACTTGAACTTTTAATCTCATGAAAGCTAAACATTCACAAAGCAAAGAGTACAATTGAACCAAAGAACCGTTTGTAAAACTTATCGAAAGTTGGCAGACAAAGTTAATAAAAAAAAATTTAGAACCAAAATGAAAACTAGCACAAAGCTTAAGGTTAAAAGTGTAGTTTATCCTAAATGAAATAACAAAAAATAAAATAAAATTTGCATGATTCACTTGTGGTTATGAAATTTTCCTAGGCTCTGATGTTTGTGGGACATTGACATTGATTTCTACTTGCATGAAAGTGGACAGTTGAATTTTCTAACAAGTAACAATTAGTGACCATTTGAATTATCTTCGTTACAGTTAGGTTTTTTGCCACTAATTTTTTTGTTATGATTGACTACACTTACATTACACATATGTTAGTGGACTCAATATCTTGAAAGTTGTTGTGTTCATCATGCTAAGCACAATATAGTATAAAATTAAGAAATAAAAGAGTAACAAACATGCTGCTAACACATAGATTACATCGGGATAGATAGACTGTTTATCATTTTCTAATTTTAAATTCTGTTATAAACAAGTCTTTTGCACTAATTATGAATTTTTTTACATCAAAATTCGACAAATTGATTTTCCAGACGAGAAACTTGAATACAAAAACGTCTCTTCCTCTTAAAGACAAATTAAGAGGTCAATTTTAAAAGTTGGTAAAAATGAACCAGTCACATGAATGAATGAAGGACAATAATTCCACATGAAAAACAGGGAAGAAATCAATCTCATTCCACATAAATTATTTTTTTAGGGTAGACAACAAAGCATTGACAGTTGACTTGTGCTAAGAGACTCAGACTCAGTTTTAAGTAAAATTGCCAAACAGGATTTCAGTGCCATGAGGAAAATTGAAACAAATGTTCCAATGTTAAAGTTTAGTGATGTGCAGGCACCAATCCATGTCTTAATTGCCTAAGTTCAATACCTACCCACTATTGCATTCTAGACGCCCCTAGCTTAGCACTTTAAAACCACCTTCAATTTGGCTTCACAATATCTAAAATATAATATTTTTGGTACACGAGACTCTTATCAATATAAAAATTTATGAGTACCAACTACCAGAAATATTCAATGTAATGATATATGAGAATATTTACTCCATGTATACCTTCTTTTCACTTGCAAAAAAATATGTTCGGCATATGTCTCAAATAATCTCCTTTAAATTTGTAGTCAATGAGAATCAGGACACAAACAAACACTCTTGTAGAGATGGTGCGACAAACAACACTCTTAACTAGGAGAAAATATTGGGTGTCACCATCCAATAAGAGTATAACAAGTAAGAAACTGAATCTCACAAATTATAATAACTCCTCCTCCATGTTATTTGGTAACCACCAAATGTCTGATAATAACAACCAAGTGAGATACAACTTACCTTCTTATAAGTTTATTATTGGATGATGACACTATATGACAGTAATGACTTAGTTTAACCATGACACATAATATTTACTCGGAGAAACTGACAGAAAGATAGAGCAACTATTCATAAATAATTGAGTAACATTGTTTCATAATACTAGGAAAAAGGGATACATTGATTTAAGGCAGAAATGCCATAGCTTTCATAATTGACTAAGCGTAAGTTTAAGGGGTATCTTAAGTGATAACATAAACGATTTATAAACTTAAACATCTTGAATTCAAATGTTGGCAATTCATTAGGACCAAACCACCATGAATTTATCCCTCATTAATATCCTAGTTCCGGCGTGGATGGGTTGCCTTTGACCGGATCGAGAAGACAATTAGTCGAAATACATATAAATTGAATTAGACACCCTGACGGTTGAATCAAAAAAAATTGACCAAGTGTTGGCATGGTATCTTCATAAATTAGAAATTCAAATATCATTGTTACAAATTATAAATACGTAGATATCATATATACGATAGTGATAAAATAGTCGTAATTATAAAAAAAACACACAACGATCTAAATATGTAAACTGCTAAAACAAAGAACATATATTATGAGCACATAATCATTAATGTGGTGTTTTACGTTGCTATCCGCCTCACCAGATTCTCCAAATTTTGCACCAATTCCGTTGTAATCTAAAACATTTGTGATTAATGCCTTACCATATAATGGATTTTTGACTTTGAGTATATGCCTATGGTGCAATTTGATACCTAGCCAATAAGGTCTTGCCACCTATCAAGTACAGGTCAGCTTTGAGTATATAATTCCCTGTTCTGCATCTCTGCCCCCTATAAATTCAACAAGAAGCCTGTCGTTTTTGGGCCTCGCATACCAACCCAACACAGCCCAGAGAACAGAACCAGAACAAGAACAATCTGGTGAAGAAGAAGTATGTCTAAACTCAGCACCCTCTTCATGGTAGCCCTTCTCCTCTTCTTCACGCTGCCGTGCGCCGGCCTCCCGGAGCCTTTTTTGGTGAAAACCCAACTCGAGGTAGGTTCAATTCAGTAGTCATATTTTGTTAACTCTTCTTGGGTGTTATGGATTCGAGATACAAAAATATTCCTTTCGCATGCAGTACCTTAATTTGTTTTTTTTTGGGTATTTATATAGGACGGGACAGCGGAAAATATTGAGGTTGGTGAATCAAGTTGTGAAGGAGAGGAAGAAGAAGAGTGCTTGATGAGGAGGACACTGGCAGCTCATGTTGATTATATCTATACACAGAAGCGCAAGCCATGAAGCTCTGTCAAAATTTCTCTATTTATATTTGCAAGAATAAGTATATGTACTTGTGTTACCAAATCAGTTGGTGATGATATTAATTAGATATACTTGGACTAAGATTATTATTAGAATGCCTATGAAAATCAGTTGGTCCGTCTGTAATGTTTATTAGAAAGCTTATGAAAATGTTGTACGTACTAATAATCCGTATGAGTTGGTTCAAGGATCAAACAAAAAAATGAGACAGTCATATGCATGTAAATCAGCATTTACGATACAACCATGAATATAAAAACAAGTGATTCGGGCGATCTTCCGTGAAAAACTTCACGTGACATTTGTATGTCTAGTATCGAAAAAAACATAATATAAACTAATTTCTGTTATTTTTTTTAGAACTCTGGGCAATTTTTTAGTCTCCGTAAATAAATATTTCTACTTTTTCTCTCATGTTTTGCTGAAATTATAATTATGTAAGTAGCATGACAAAAATTCCATACAGACTCTTCAAAACAGAAAGATATTCTTCATCAGTCTTTTCTCATTCCAAAACCCAAAAAAAAAAATGTTTATTGGTAAAAATATTTTAGCCAAAAAGATGAAATTTTTTTTTTGTCCAATTTCATATGAAACAAACAGCAGTCACAGAAAAGATGTGCAAATCACACATAATTCCGATTGGACAGGTCACATCCTTGATTGCACAAGTTGACGCGGAGAAGAAAATCTCTAATACAAACATATGGTATACAGTTAATTAAAGATAAAATGTCGAGATTTTCTATTTAACCTATCACTTCTCAGTCGTCCTCCAGTCCTAGAAACTTCCTTTTTCTTTCAATGGCTCTCTCTTTCCTGCATGAAAAAGGGAACATAGAGAGTCAAACACGGCTTTGATGTTTTTGTTTTCACACGACAAAGAACAAGTCATTTCACGAGCAAAACAGATTCCGTTCAAATTGCATGAATATGAATTATTGGGCAAAATGAAATACATCTGATCCGCCTTAGACTCTTCGTCAACGAAAATCTTGTGCCCCCCCCATATTATTTAGCATCAGAAGCAAGATGATTAGATGGACCAAATAAAATCCACACAGAAGAAACCATGGACTCCAATGTTAGCACTATCAACAGGTACAGGGGCACCTGGCTTTGTGTAGCACATCATGCATGGTAAAAGATCACTTAACGGTCGTAGTCTTGTAGTGGAATGTTTACCAGAAATAGGAAAAATGGAAATCCTTCAACTTGGATCTTCCACCCGGTCATGACTTTCACACCTGGACTGCAAAATAAAAACCCACTTTAAGCTCTCAAGTATTTTTATAATTCTAATAGAATGATTGCTCATTGAAACTACTCCATTTCTTCCCTTCAAGGGGTCGAAAACAAAGCAAACTCCACTACAGTCTTTTCGACACAGCAACAACAACAATAACAAAAACAACTGTTTTGTTGTAAGAAGCACCTGAACAAGCAAATTTGACAAAAACTTCATATACAGGGGTCTGGTTGATTTTAAACTCGGACTTTTCTTCTTTCTTTTTGTTTGTACATCTTTCAGAGAAAATTATCTGCCAACTGTTGATTAGATTCTAAAGAGGAAAGACCATCCTTTACAGTAGCAATTCCATTATCCCAACTATAGAAGAAGGACTATACCAACTTTTACAATTATTGACACCAATGGTCACCATTCTGATCATACATCATTTATATTAGTAAACATATGGCATTTAGGTACTCTTGACTGTTAATTCTCTCATAATGGTCAATAAGGGTCAAATCCAATTATTGATGCTGACAAAGATGTTTGAACCTGGCTTCCAAATTTCAGGCAAAAAGACAGGCCACCAATTCTTTCTCAATTGAACACCCATTAAGGAGAACCAGACAATAGACTGTGGTGTGGTCATGATGCTTCAAAAATGTATTACCCAAGCAAAACATACAGTAAAGGCACAATCCATCTGTGTTCATGAGTAAATTATAGACTCTCTGTTCTAGTAGCTGTAGTTCTGAAACTATAAAAACAAACACAAGAAAGCAGAATCTAACCCCTGTTAAAGAGTATCCAGAGAGAGAGAAACAAACCAGTTACATACCACTACTTGGGAATTCACACTGGCAGTTATTATAAATAGCATCTTAAGAAACCTTGGCAACAACTTACAAACTAGTAGCTACATCTACAACAGGATAGTCATTTGGCATTCGATTAAATGGTCTACATTACAAAACAGAGATTCAATTGTACTACTCCTTGGCACCTCATCTATGACTAATTCAAGGAGTAAACAACATGGTTCAACCATTGTGCATTCTGTAAGGTGCTAAAGTGTCATAAAAAGCAAGATAACATGACAGCATGTGTCGCAATCTTAGCTGTAATCTGATCATCAAATAAGCTAATTCAGGGCAAGATTAGTATATGATGGTCCAAGTAACCCCACATAAGCAAAAGAAATGATGTCCTCTGGCATAGTTTTGGCAAGCAGCTTTTCGGTAGAAGGCATGATATTATCTCGAGCTCTAACCAACATTAACATACAAGCTAGACAAGAATTACAAAATCTATCTTAAGGGAACTCTCACAAAAGTCCATGCAGTCCTAATCTAAATATAATAATGCCCCATATACCGCATTACACTAACTACCATTTAATGGTATCACATCACTTCATGTCCAAAGTAGACACAGATGAAATCTCTATATCTTAACATTCAATCACACTCCATGGCATTGATGGGATATGTGTCACACCCCCACCCCAATCACGTAGGGTAGTCGCCAAAATTTTAACAAATAAATCACGTGCATAATAAATACAAAATAAAACGAAAGATAAAAAATAAAGTGATTCATTCTGCTCACTTAAAAAATACCAAAAGAATAAACTAAACATCACCGACATCATTACTAAATCCATGTAAAATAATAATTACGCCATAAGATTCACTACTCTAAATATAAACAATATTGTTCCCAAAACAATTAAACACTTGTCTTAAAACTATAAAAAAACATTTATTCCTGAAAATCTACAATAAAATAAATCTTCAAGTCCTCTAATCTCTTGTATCTCAACCCCTCTCACATGATCTCAATCTCTTGTACATAATCATTTAACAACATGATCTCATGTTAACAAATAATTTTATAAATGAAAAGACATTTATAATTCAAAACATTCACACACACATTCAATTCCAAATAAATTTGTCATATCATGCTTATTACCATTAGCTTGGTAACTAGCTTCTTCTCTTATCATCATTAGCCTAATAACTGACCACGTCTCTTGTTACCATTAGCCTAATAACTGACCCCTATATGCACATCTTTATACTGATCACACCGGTATACTTTCAATCTCGTTACCATTTTGACCTGGTAACTCAGTCTCAGTTTCATAAAACATGATTTCAACGCATATAAAAACTATCGTTTTAATCACAACGCACACAAAAATTCTCATGTATCACCAAAACATATTTAATTTACATGTACCACAATTCATAATTGTAAAACATTTAATTGCAATCACAAATATCAACATATATATAAAATATTCATAGATGCACCACAAGTTTAATATAGAAAATCCTCCCAAAAAAAGTGACAAATTGTTTACCTTGATTTCTAAAATTCAATTCAAATTCCTCTTTCCCAATTTCAATACAATTACCACCTAATTCAAAATAACATATAACGATCAATCCCTATTCCTAATTTCTTTGTTTCGCTTATATTTAATTTTTTGTACTTCTTATCCATTGATATATTATATATATTTTACATATAAATAACCTTTTTAATATGAGGTAATAGGGTATAGAAGTAGTCTGAACTGTTTAGGAAAAGTTTTTAAAGTTTTAGAGTCAAATCATAATTTTTAAAACTTTTGGGGTCAAAGTACAATTTTCTTGAAAAATGAATTTTCTATTTTCGAAGCTTTCATAAATTTTTTAAAGTTCTATTCTTCCAAATTATCAAGTAAAACGGTAGTTAAAATTAAGTTTAAAAGAATAAAATGATCAAAATAAAGCTCTTTGAAACTATAAGGGAGATTTTCATAATTTCAAATTTTCCATCTTCTTCAACCCAGAGGAAGTCTCCTGCAACTGTAACAACTCAACAACGTTTCTTTTCTTTTTTCAACCTATTAAATTCAATCAAATCTCAAATAACTATACATTCAAATTCAACTTAATATCTTCAAAAATTATTTATATATTACACTATGAAATCTAACACCATGTAATATAATAAAATACAAAACTCATAAAATATCCACGTATCTTCGATGGATCCAACTCTCCCATTTTAATATATAGGAGCAAGACTTTCCATAAGGACTCATTAGTCACTTCTTGTTATTTTTCCCATATATAATTACTCATTGATAGCCAATGCACCATTTAAATAATTTAACAATCTTTGTTTTTTTAATGGATTATTACAATATGAATATCTAGGAATGACCAGAAATGATCCCGATTCACCAGTTGTCCTGAATCAGACAATCCTACGAAAATGATGGTGAGCACTACCATAAAAGTCTCCATTCGACTTCAAAAGTTTAAACCCAGACAATATTAGCAGTTTGACAAATAAAAATTACTAAATCAACTGTGTATACCGAGTGAATAGAGCATAAATAGGAACTTGAGCATAAAAAGCCAAAAAAAAAAAAAAGAGAAGAATAATTTAAACTTGGAAGTAAAAAAATGGATGTAAACAACGATAAAAATGAAGTAATGATGATGTTCAAGAATGTCTACTCTGCACCATGATATAGAGAATAAAAGTCACGAAGCATGTATGATCCCTGGCATGTATGGGAAAGTCTTTGGTACAGCCTTCGATACCCTACCGTAGGTTACTAACTTTATGGTAAAGTTACAACAAAAAAGGAGAAATTATAATTGTTCAGGAAAGCTTATGATCGATCAAGGATTTATGATCAATCACAGATACACATGATCGATCATGGACTTCCTCTGAACAGTTATAACTTGACCTTTAAAAATTATAATTTACACCTCAAAAAAATTGTGACTTCCGATATAGTACCGAAGACGGTAACGTAAACTTTCCCGGCATGTTTTGTCGCATGGCTGACATTTTCTGAAATGTTTTCAACCTCGAACATTCACCGATCATATACATGGTTGGCAAAGAGGTTAAATCCCCGTATGGCAAGAATATACCTTGAACTCAGTGCAATGAATCACACGCGCACTGATGTACTACTATAACCTAATTAACGAACAGCGACATATCGCCCAAGAAATTACAGAAACAAAGAGGAACACCTATAAATTAATGTAGGCTTTGTAGACAATAAGTATGAAAAGAACTTAAAGCAATGAACGACTAGAATGTGTTCAGTTCAAAGGCCTAAAGCTTTGTGCAGTGCCCTGAAGTAAATAAATTATGTAAGATAACTTCCAATTTTGGTGACGAAATGGGCTAGAAAAGCAAATCAATCTCAAGATTTAAAGAGTTGAAAATCGATTAGTTCCAACACCAAAGAAAGGAGTTTATAAAGTATATCAGAATCAACATTTGGCACTGTGAAAACAAGAGGTCACATTCACGAGCTGTTACACAATTCAAACCAGAGGTATCAATGCTCTAAAGAAACTATTGCATATTGTGAACGTCATCAGCAGATAAATTCGAGTTTGTTCAAATGACTTTTTGTGTCCTTCCGAAAAATAACTTGCCATGATGTTATGCGTGGTTTGAGATTCTCCAAACATATTCTTTATCTATTCCATGGCCCCCAAATGATGCTCATTTGGCAAATCAAATTACAGAAAACCAGTTTAGAATTCTAGTCTAAATTCTGATAAACAACTGCATGCAGATAAATGCTACACTGAATTTCTCAAAGCTGAGAATTATTTCCTGACGATAAAACCATTAGTGAACATATAAGTACAGCCACATTTATTTCTACAATTTAGAGACAATTACATACATTTAAATCCTTCCCCCATAATGAAAGTGCCATTTCCTCGTATTATTACATTAGTAAATGAGGGGGAAGAAATCAGTCAATTTAAGCAGGTAACAAAGCACAAGTACTGCCCAGGACATGTAAAAACAGGGCAAGACATATGGTAAGAATAACAAAAGATTTTGCACCAGCATATCTGATAACTTCCAGTCCCCTGTCCACAATCTCTTCCTGGACCATACAATAACTTCTTTTCAAACCATCCGATAACTTCCACAAGAAAAACTCCACAAGAGATCGAACAGTTTCAAATGTCACCCTCCCAGTCACATCGAGCACAAACCTCTTATTGCTTGGCATTGCCAATGTAGACGAAACACTACTCATCCACCCAGCATTCTTTATTTCCATAGGTCGGGTCATCTCTTTCAATGATCTTGAAGATGCTTCTTGCTCAATAGGAATGTCTTTTGTTTGGCTCCCAGCTTCACTCTGATCAACAATGGAGCAAGAGGAACTTGAACTGGATCCTGAATTTGATTTTGAACATGTCAGCACCTGGTGAGATGTCTTCACAAGAGTTTCCACTGCCCCATTGCAGAGAGAAACCAGAATGTCTATTACTTTCGTTTGGTGCTTAGGGTTAGTCAACCCAGAGAACATATCATCATAGAAGTTAATATTCATTGTTTTGTCAAGATAAGCAGCAACTGCCGTTCTCACAAAAGTCTGAATGCAATCAGCAATGAGTACCTTACTTTTGTCATTGCAGACCACATCTACCCATCCAGCCAAATTGGACGAATTTGACCTAGCATAGGACACACCAGAGTCACTGTTTCCATTCAAACCCTCATGTGATTGGCCACTTGAATAAAATCCCAATACCAAATTCCTTGCAAAACTACCAACAACAACTGAAACAAACCCAGTCCCTGCACTAGAAATCATTTTATCCATAACCCGATCAGGAAAACTCGAATTCTCCACTTCTTCAATTTCCTCTTTCCTCTCTGAACGATAACCCCTTAAAACCCCAACCATCATAGCCTCGGAAAGTCTAATTAACGAGTCAGAAAACTCATCCGACCGAGCAATTTTCGATAGTTGCTTCACACTATTGGGAATTTGGTCTGAATCAGACTGCAAAAACTCCTTTAAGTCCTTGGAGACAATATTAATTGTCTCGGCTGACTCAGATACCATGTCGGCTAATGAAACCAGGGCTCCCAAGAGCTTTAGAAGCCTGTTCCTCTTTCTTACTACAGAAGGACAGTTATACACTTTATACACTCCATAACCTGAAAAACCAAATACAGCAAGCAAAATCAGCCATTTCTTCTTTCTCTGAGAGAAATTGATCCCCCTTTTCACCAACCCAAGATCCATGAGAAACACCAAACGAACCCCAGAGCTCAAAACAATCAAACGCTTGTGAAAACCCGAGCTTTAAGGGTTCTGGTCAGTGAAATGCATACCCCTATATTTAATCAATAAAACGAACCGTAGACCTCAAATTGATCACACCCTAGAGCTCGAACTGCAGAGATTCGAAATTAAAAGGGCACCGATGGAAATAGAGATAAAGTAAAGTTGTGTGAATCAAGGAACCTAGGGTTCTGTTTCTTTGTTGCAGAGAGAATTGATAAGTATTGAGCAATGGATAAGCTACAACCATCAGAAAAAATATCTTGCATATATATATATATATATATACAGAGAGAGAGAGAGAGAGAGGTGCAAGCAAAGCGATTGGTTTGTTTAATTGTGTCCAGAAAAGAAAAAAGGAGAGAGAAAGCTAATTGAACATTAGGGTTTGTAAATTACCGGGAAAAAAACCAGCTAGGGTTGGTAAGCAGGGGCTTGAATTTGATTGGCTGAGGACTTGGAATTTGATGATCCAAATGGAATCGATATTTTTAATATTTTCTCTTTTCTAACAACTTTTTTGTGGACCTTCTTTGTTCAGTTGGGGAGGAGGTGGGCTTGTCACGTGATAAGATTAATGGTGAGTTGTTGTAGGGAAAAGTCTACGGCATTAAAAAAATAAAAAAAAATTTAATCCCGTATCAAAAGTTATTATTTTTAATGACGAGGTTATATTTAAAAAAAATAAAATTACAATTAATTGAGGCAAATCCATCATGAAATTTCATTGAGCTGAGCTGTTGTAATTTTTGATTTATGAGTTATAACTTAATTTTTAAAAATTGTAACTCAATTTTTACAAATTGTAAATTTAAAATTGATCATGTCTTTGTAAATTATAACTTACACATTAAAAAATTATAATTTTTAATACGATACTCGTGACAAGACCATAGAGTTTTCGCTGTATTTTCCTCTATGGGCATGTTTGTCATTAACGTCAATATTCTATCAAACTTGTAGAACAAGGTAAGAATTGACCTTACAGCTTATATAGATGAATCAAATTTTCATACACATTCTATTTAATTGCCGCAACTTACATATGAATTGATATTTTTTTTATCAATTATTAAAATTTGAATTTGTCATATTATATTGAATTTGGATGTTTGCAAACTACATCCTATTGTAATCCAATATAAAAATATTTATAATATAATTAAATAATTATTTGTTAAAATTAACATGAAATAAGATGCAATTTGTTAAAAATCATCTTTAATTGAGATATTCAAATCGGATGAAGTTTGCCAAAAAAAATGGGCTGAAGTTTGAATTGGAATTTTCAAATCTAATTTGAATTAGTCCATTAAAAACTGAGGTGTGGCCAATATTTGTGTTTCAAATCAAAAAAGAAAAACAAAAGCTTCTCTATACTCCTCCTAAATAAATAAATAAAAAATTAATAGTATTTTTGGTCTTTAGAGTAGGCTTATTATTTTGTCAGTTTGATCTTTAATGTATCAATTTTATATTTAAAATTTTTAATTTATGTTTAAATGGTCCCTGCACAAATGAACCATTATTTTTTTAATAGACATCACCATGTGTCATTCTTTCAAATAATATTACATGATTATTTACGTCAAAAACATAACAGTTCATTTTTATAGGAACCATTTAAATAAGGATCAAAAATTTTTACTGAGTTATTTTGAAAACTTCCGAACCTTCTCAGGTTATGTTGAAAACATCTGTATAGTTAGGCCAATAAGATCAATGTGCTTGGAGGAAAGCTTTCTTATTATTGGGCTTTTCGGTTTCACTATAGGAAATTGTAGCCCAACAAATGTTATGTATCTCCTAGTCCTGCAATTGTTTTTTGGAGAAAATTACACTTTACCCCCCTAAATTATTGCCTTTATTTTACTTTATATCTTCCAACTATAAAATTTCTCACATTGTTTTATATCAAATGTATCGACTGACACAATAGTTTAGACATATAGACAGCTTTCGATAGAAAAAAAAAAAGGAAAAAAAAGGAAGATTATAAAAGAAGAAAAAAGGCATGATTATAAGAGATAATAGTCTCAAGCTCGACCTTCGGTCATTAGCTCCCCACCCTCCACCCGCAACACCCAAAAAATCCATCTTAGACAGCTTTTTAATTGCCAGTACATATGAACATCAATAAAAAAATTGTAACAGTGCATTATCAATCTTCAACAATGTACACCATGCTTGTAAGAAACTTCCACACCCTTGACAATAATGGTCAGTTGAAATGGTTGATAGTCATGAAGGGCGCACCTGAGCATTGTGGTCACCTAAATCCCTGGAAGGTCAATTAAAACGACCTCGTTCAGCGGAAACTCTTTTTGACTTCCCCATTCATCATGCAAGAAAGCTCAAAAATCATCATTGAATGCTTGAACCACCCAGAAACCACGCTTAGTGAGTGTTTCAGTTCTTAGTCCCCGTGTTCTCCTCTGGCGTTGATGCAGTGCGACCCTTGAACAGACTAGAAGCTTCTGCTTAGCTGAAGCTAAATTCATGAAGTTTTGGTCGGCGTATCCAAACCTTTTGAGACTATTTTGGATTTTATAGGCATAGTACAATCGTCATCATCCTCAAGATCACTGAATGACACATCTTCTTCATTCCCCATAAAAGCAGTGCATCTGTATCCCTCTAGTTCATAATTTTCCTCTAGCCAGTCATCCTCGTCATCATCATAATCTTGGTCAAGTGCTTTATGAGATGGACCAGCCACAACTTCCTTATCCAGGACCTTCATCATAGACTCTTCTTCAATAACAGACTTGTCAATCATCTGGATCTCAGAACTTTCAATGGGATGTTTCTCAGTCTCAAATTCTGTTGCTGCAGAGTAAGTAGTAGGTTCAAAAGAAAAATTCCCAAGTGGCACATTCCCAGAAGAAGCCTCAACATCCAAATCCTCTTGGAGTGAATTGGCATCCTCTTTAGAATAGAATGTGCTTCTGCCAAACCAATCTGGTTCTGGCTTGGTCCGCTTTTGCAGCTCCTTCATCCACATAGCTCTTGCTGCCACTGTCTGCTAAGCAATAGACATTCAATCAACAAGCTGTGTTCGGAGATAAAGCAAGTCAGCTGATAATGTAGAAAAGGTTGGAAATATAATCCTCAGGTAAAATGGCACTAATGCCTTCGAAAACTTCTCATAACTTCTTATATTAAGGACAACTTCAATCGGCCCGTTGACACAAGGAATAAACAGCTGATACTAATCTCCGCAAGAGTTTGAGGACTACATTAGAAAGGATTTCCAGTCCGTTCCAAACGGTTGAGCAGGTAGCAATAATAATTCAAGCATTCAATGACGAAATATTAGCCCCAGTTGAAGTTCAAATCATTTCATAAGATCAAAGAATGTTTTTATGCATAACAAGAAAATACATAGACCAGGTGGAAAAGCAGAATTTGGCCAAGTTCAAGATGCATGGCATTAAGAACTTCTTGATGAATCCTTTATGGAGTTTCAGAAACTGATCTTCATATTCTGGATGTGGCAACAAAACCCACTTTGCTTTTGGAAGTAGTGCAGAATTATAGACTACCTTTACAGATTCCTTCTTTGTGTGGAAGTCTTATCAAAGTTAAAAATTGTCAAAAATGGAAGAGTTCATGTATTCACAATATGAACTTGCTGCCAGAAATGACCTTGTAATAAGTATAATAATAGTGCGCACTGCATGAAACTAGCATACCTGGGGTGTAGATAAAAGTTCAGCGTCATGTTTATTGAGCCTCGAGTGCAAAAGAACAAAATAGACCTTCCAAAAGTAACCCTCGCTCATGTGGGCAGGACAAAATTCTCTTCTGAGAGCAGCTAATCTAGGCGCTAGGCATTCTACTGTCATTGCATGCTTTTGTTGGGCATCAGACATATCAAAATCTAAAACAAAGAAAAAACATCATATAGGAATGTACATTGAATCGATAACATAGCATTTTTTCCATGTAAATATACCAACTATTGACTACAGATAATCTATAAGCAAATACAGCCTCATTTATTGGTTGTACACTGCACAATGCCTTGTACTTAATAAGAAGCACCTTTTTCAAAAGATACATCCTAAACACAAGATACCTTGTAGATTTTAGACTAATATGAACAACATGTGTATCGAAATGGATAGACGTTTCTATCATATAGGAAGGAAAGAACAGGACAAAAAATCTTCTCCAAAGAAACGAAATAAATGACAAGTGGAAGAATTGATTCACATAAGGAACAGCTTATTTCATCATTGGATTACATAACGGCGTAAGGCTCTTATAAGAACTCCATCACATTTTTGAATGACTGTGTAAACAAAGGCATGGTAGATGCAGTGATATCTTGAAGAATTACTTTTACCATGTTAATGCTTTCCTTCCAAGGCATCATATGAGGTGTGGCATCCATTAGACAATAATTGTCTGAAAGCAACCTCCACAAGATAAACCTCTTCAATTACAAATATAACGTTTTCAAAATGTCTTAAAACACTGCAATTCCTTTCCGGAATGCATGGCCGTCAGAACCGTTATACAATGGAACCCAAAACAATCAAAAATCATCTTTCATCCACAATGACTTTTCTCCAAATATTGCCTCTCAGACTAATCTCCTTAGCAGCTTGCATGAGATTCTCTGTAGAAGACAATAAAAGGCCTAACCCCAAACTATCCCACTCTCATTAATCATCATTTTTGCAATGCCAGTAGAAGTTGTTCTGATCTTGTCATAGTATCTAATCTACATTAGATCTATGAAAATAGTGAGTAGAAGAATTGGAGGTATTGGCCAGCAATCATAATTAATGAATTAGAACTTACAATCCCTTTTGGTTGCTACCTTCAACTGAAGCCTACTCTTGAAGCACAGAAATAGTATGATACTATGATTAACGAGAGTTTGAATTTCTCTATGTTAAGTAACTGAAAATGAAATAGTTATTCAACCTGCAGAACTAAGAACACGAATAGCTAGTAAAATATACACAAATCGTATTGCTTTTCAGTTCTATTGGTTAGACATAATCAAAAGATCCAAGGCAACAAATATAACTGCCCAAGAGGTGTTTGATAATCCAAATGAAACAAAAGCAAGGATACTTAAAGGCATTAACCAACCCTACTGCCGCGCTGGACCTTGAATATGCTGCAGTAGGGTTCCTGTTGGCCATTAAAATATGCCTAACTCAACCACCAGTACGCGTCACAAAGGATCCATCAAAAGCTTCATTTGGTCCCAATTCCAAACAATCCCAACGGAATTAAAATTTGCTTAGATTCAAGAGCTCCAAACACAAAGTCACATAGCAATGCTTAAACAAAAAGCACAAATACAAACAATGTTGCACTCTCCAGATAGCCCAGAAAACATGGACCTGTTCGCAGATTCAATGTTTCATATCATGGCTATTGGCCCATATATCCAAAACTAAACGATTAATCCATATCACAGAGGTCAAAAGTAATTAATCCCACACAAAATACATACTGTAATGAATGAGCATTAGGTAATCAAAAATCACTCGCATACCGTTAATGTCTTCTTCCTCTGATAACGGAAAATCCAACCAAGTCTCTGGATGATGCGCAATATTCCTTGCAAACGCCAACACCTCCTCAGTAATTCCGACAGCGTCTACAATTTGATCTTCTGATCCAATCGGCCGAAAATTCAAAAAATTCGGTATGCCACTCCCAACTCTTCCCCCAAAATCGGAAATATTTCGCGAATCCCCAACAAATCCTAACGAATCTTCGTCAGAAACAGCACCAGAACCCGACTGGTCAGCAGATTCCCACTGATCCCACCGATTTTGATCTGAGATTAACCGATCCGTCTTAGAATGAGAAAGAGGAGGTGGCGGTGGTGGTGGCGGTGGCGGAGGAGGAGGAGCAAGAAATGAAGCGACGCCCCATAATTGACGAGTAAGGGTTTCTTTAAATTCCGACAAGTCATCCTTCACACCACGTCCATAATTGTCTAGTTGATCTTCTTCTTCCTCGTCCTCGCTGTATTCTTGCGTTTGACCTTCGTCATTTTCGTGAAATGATTCCGAGTGGTTAAGGTTTTGCGCATTGCCGTCGATGTCGTCGTCGAGTCGGAGAGAGTTGGCGATAGAACGAGCCAACCATGACATGGCTTTGAAATTTTGAATTTGAGACCCGAGAGAAAGTGATTGATTGGTTGGACCAACGTTCGAGCACGTTGGGGATTTCGAAAAGTTGTAGGCAGAAGATGATGATGATGATGATGATACTGGTAATGATCTTTGTCAGCTTTTTGGTGTTGTGTTGTGCCGACGTGTATTGGGCCCTTCACATACGTTTCAGGCCCTACTACATACACCTTATCTGATTTGAAATCCATTAATTGTAATAATGTGTGGATGTATGGGCTTGGATGTGTTCTATGGGCTGTAAAAGTCCAGACACAAGTAGCTATCTTTCAGCCCAATATAGTTTTCATCTAGTTTTTCCGACACATTCGTTAGAACGTCAACTCTCATTGTTAAAAAAATGAGTAATTCTTGGAGGGGTGATAGAGCCTTTGAAGGGTTTTTTCTTGATTGTTTGTTGGATTATGGAAGTGATTACAGAGAAAAATCGGATTAAAATTCTCGAATCTAGTTTTATAATGTGATACTCAAGGAAGATCAGATATATACAACTTTAATCTCCTATAAAAAGAGACTGTTACCGTGATTCAAATCTAAAGTTGTTAATCAAATTGAGTTATTTGAGTTCGACTAGAGTTCTACTTGTTTTTTAAATGAATCGAATTTGAACAATTTTTTAGTTTCATTTAAAAAACGAGTTCGACAGACTCGACTTAAACTCGACATATTCGATTCGTTTATGTACAAATACTCGAGTTTGATTTATTTTAAACTCGTTCAGAAAATGAACTGAATTTGAACAATCTTTTAAATTTGATTAAAAATATAAATTTTTTAAACTCAATTCAAACTCGTTCGACCGTCTCCCCGCTCAAATCCCTGAAGAGCATTTTAAAAATGAAATAACCTTAATGCTGCTCTCTCTAAATCAAATTATGTAGTACGAGTTTGATTAAGTTAATGAATCTGTTCAACTCTCACCTCTTGTGGGAAACCAAAACAATGTTATTCAAGTTCATTAAACTGAAGATTAAACGCTGTCAGACAGTATGATTGATACTCCACCTACACGTGAAAAGCATACATTTAAATCTTCATTGGATCTTGCGCCTACCCCTCAAAGCAAAACAAAAGCAGAAACCTGAGCTTTTTAAAAAATAGTAAAACAAAAATTACAGTAGAGGAGGAATAGTCAGGTTTCAAGATAAAAATCCAACAGCAAATTATGGTCATCATTAAGTTAACCATTAATCCTCAAAAAACACTTGAGCTTAATGCACGAACCCAGTCTCTTTCTCCTTTTTACACCACAGGAAATCCTACGTGGTCGTTTAAATAATTAGTTATAAATTCAGAAATTGTAAGTGGTTGTCTCTTTCTCTTTTTTACAATTGCAGTTCAGACCTCGGTTTTTTCAACTACTACTGATTTTAGATTAGGTTTGGTGAGCCTCAAATATTAGTCAACCCCATTTAGACAACAAGTTGCATATGGCTTCGAACCTGCTTGTTGACTGACCCTGTCCAATGGAACACTTCCTTTGTTTTGGAAATCTACCTTTCAGATTATCAACCACACTTGTTTGGGGTGCAAACATAGCTAACTTCTTTAAAATAAAAATCTCTCAATTTTCATTAATAAAAATATACCGTGTATTGTATATAGGCAAGAACAACATTATATATAATAGGTCCCGTGTGATGGATGATCTATGATTGTCAAAATTATAGGAAAGTGTATTGTAAATAATCTGAATACGAAAATAAAATATTTTTGACTAGTAATTTTGCGTGCTAATAAGTATGCCTAATTAACTAATGATGCATACAAAAAGTGACAAATATTGTAGAGGTACGAAATGGAAAACCACAATTTCGCCTTCTATTAGAGGCATTAATAGAAAAATATTGCACAATTTAAATAAAATTAAAAAATTATAATTTAAACGCATATTATCCATTTGATTACTGTTGAATGAACGAGTTTCACTGAAAAAATTGATGAGACTCACTCATCCAATAAATAATATATATTTGAATTACAATTTTTTAAATTTCATTTGAACTTTATAGCATTACTCTTAAAAACCGCTCCCAATCTAAAAGAACTCCTGTGGCATTCAAACCTTAACATTCAAATGAAACTATTTTGAATTTCTTCACTTCTTAATCTAGTTAGCTTTTTCTTCCATTTCCATTAATTTAGGTCTCAGTCAAAAGATTCAAGTTGCCAATGCCAACAAATACCTACTCTCCTTTTAAGGTAAGGCAAGGTCTCATGCTCTTTTCAACCTTCTTTTTTTTCTGTTTCTTTTCTTGGTCCAAGGGAGAGTTCGTGGGAGCATCTTTTTTGTCAAGTAAAGATGAAACACTACCATTCACCAACATAAAAAGAAAGGGTAAATTATATTTTACACCATTGAAGTTTTTCACATGATTTATATTTAGTCCCTATATTATCAATAAAAACAATTTACCTTACGAAATAAATAAATAAATCAAATCACTAAACGTTTAGAAGTGTCTTTAATTAAATCTTGCCATCCAACTCTATCGACTATTGTAATGGGAAAGTATTAAGTGAACATCACAAGTCGATGCCTCTCAGAAATATGAATCTGAAAGATAAAACGAATAGCATGGTGAGACGCAACTTAAGTCGATCTCTTAAGACAATTCGCATCTTTTTATGGAAGAAACAAAATGAATAAAGTAGCAAAGTGTCATTCTTTGGATACAACAACTCAATCTAGTTGACTGTTGCTTCATTCAGATTTACTTAATCGAATGAAACAGATATATTGTCCAGAAAAATAGAAAAGTAGTAAAGAATATAGAAAATATAAATTCGAAAGATAAAATGAACGAAATAGTGAAACACAGATTATCTCGCTCTTTTAAAACGATTCGTACTCCTTTATGAAAGAAACACAATGAATAAGATAACAGAATGGCGTTCTCAGGATAGAATAGCCCAGTTTAATTGACTATATGTAGCAGATCATCGTCCCCAAGATACAACAGCTCAGTCTAATTGATTGTTGCTTCACTTAGATCTGCACAATTGAATGAAGCAAAAGTTTCACACGACACTGTTGTTTATTTCTCAAAAAAATAGAATAGTAGTGAAAAATATAGAAGATATAAAAATGTGTATATCTATTTTAAATTTTGATATATATATATATATATATATATATATATATATATATACAACTTGTGAGAATCTCAAGGTCTTACTTAAGTCAATAGTTAGATAACACTAATACATATATACTGAAATATTTTTAAAAATTTAACTGATGTGAAATTGAATTTTCTACGTAATATGCTGATTTTATGAAAATACTCTAACAATGCCATGAGCAGTCAACAGATATACTGGAGTCATTTTAGTAAAAATAATCTCCCTAATTGTAGAGTTCCCCTTTAATTTCTGGCAGATTGGCAGATTTGGACGAAGTTTGGAGATTTGATTGATTGAATAGACAGTTGACAGACCAAATAAAAATCATGTCCAAAAACATAATACCAAGTGCAACATGCTAAAACAAACACTGCATTTTCATTCATTTGTGTGTGGTTTATTATGCTACTTTACTGAATGAGAATTATAGTGCAATAGTCAGTGACGGGGTAAGTGTCCTAGTTGGAGCTATTATTACCTCAAACACTGAAAAGGGCACTTGAATTGTTCTATTCAGTGAAAGCCCTCATTCAACTTTTCTTTTTCCCCTTTCCATTCCTATATGGAGAAGAGGGAGGCAACAGAGAAGGTTTCTGGTCAGCAATACGTTCCACAAAAGAGGAACAATTGTACTCCATGATCGCTTTTTGCCCTCAGTGATCATGGAGATCTCTCTCTCTCTCTCTCTCACACACACACACACAAACACCCCCACTCACAAGAGTTCTGCTCATGACTCAGTTTCTCTTGAGAAAGAAAATGGAATGATATACCAAGTCCCATTTTACTATGAGTAATTTCTCCAAGCCAGAGCCTACTTTAGATCCAATCACGCAAGAATAAACTTATACATGCAATCATCCTCTAACCATAGGGATCTGCAAAACCCAAAAGTCCCCGGCGAAAGTCTAATCCATGACGATGAAATTTACAGTTTATTCTGATCTAAACCCATAACAAAAAAAAAAAGTACCAATTTTGAAAACAGATAAATGATGGACCAAGCCTCCAGTTTAAAACACTAATGACTCATCTCAGTGAGAAACCAAATCAAAATTAAAGCCAGAAAACCACCTCAGCAAGGAGAATGCAGAACATTTGCTTCTAGCAAATAAGAAGTTATCTGTCCATCAAAGCAAGAAAAAGCAAAACAATGGAATCTATTATAGAGAAACTAGAATTAGCTATTCAAACTGATATCAAGTACAAATCAATTCATTGTACATGTTGAAGTTATACAGAAAGATCCAAATGCCCTACAAACTCTACAATTAAAACGTTTCTTCAAACAATGAAAAGGTAAATACAATTACAGTTTCAAGTACAAAATTGCCAGAATCACTACTTCACTCAGTATTCACATCTCAATCCAGCTGCATTTGCCAAGACATGGTCTATAGCACTCTTGCTGATTGAAACCATGAAATCTATCATAGATTGGTTCGATTGTGGAAGAACAGATATTGATCAATCCGGACTGAGATTTGTCGTAACTGCCAGTAAATTATTGTCCACTGGCATGAAGCAAGTTAAAATATAGATCCACCTATGGTGCCCTTTCAAAAGTTCATGTGAAACCAATTGGCAGAACTAAAAGGCGGCCCAGTGCAGCGTGGTCTGGGGTGGGGACGGGTCAGATGTACTTAGTCTTGTCCCGTATGTGGAGAGACTGTTTCCCCAACCAATTAGCTGAATCGACGTTCTTTTTAATATGCACGCGAAATTAATGTACTTCAGGAGCTCAATTTTACCTTCACTGTATTGTTCTTGTAAGCTTACATTTCGAAATGAAAGTCGTAGCTGTGTAATTTAGACTACACAATTTCAAGAGCTCTGCTGACCTTTGCTTCAATACCGGATTGCAACCACTCTGAATTACAAGGAGGAGCTTTGCTGCAAGGCCGGCGTCGACAGCAAGCGCTGCACATTCTTCAGGGTCAAGCTTGCACACGGCCCACAAAATCGATAACGCAAACTGAGTACAGCTCTCTGAAACCTTCATCAACAACTTGACCACATTCGGAATAGTCCCGGGGCAATCCTTAAGAGCCAATCTACCTTCAGGAATTGTTGACAAAACTTCAAGAATATATAGTGCTAATGCCAAGCCTTCAGCATTCAAACTAGGCAATACCTCTACCAATTGAGGAACAGCGCCAATGCTCACTACAGAGTTTCTCACAGGTTCATGAGAACAAACCATCTTGAGCAATCTGAGTCCAGCCAATACCCCATTTGGGTGTTTCTTATCCCTGACTAATCTCATTAGTCCCACCAACAGACTCAAACTCGACACGATTTCTGACTCGAAATTCTTTCCCTCCATCAACATTTCAATCAATTTCGTACAATTGATCTTCGTATCAATCGATCCCTCGTTTAATATATCCACCATTAAGGATATCTTTGTGGGTTGCATCAAATTAGTCCTTGTATCTGAATTGAGATCCAAGTTCACCAAAATCCCAATTGCCTCTGAACCAAGTGCATGTGTAGTGAAAGGACCAAGTAAAGACGAAATCAAACCCAAGCCACCGTTGTCCACCACTGCTTTTTTCACCGAATCATGGGCTGTAACAACTTGTCTCAACTCTTTCAATGCTTGAACTCTCAATTGACCCTTGACCTTCTTCAATTTCTCCAACAGTTCCAAAGCCCTTCCTTGCACATCCTCTGAACGCTTCTTCATTGCCAAGTACTTTTGTGAAAACCAACTGTAAATTAGCTGGTAAAGGGTGGTGTTTGGAGTGACAGAATCATCCCAAAGCTCTTGCATTGTAGTGGGGCAAGTGAAGTGGCCCAAGGAGAACCATTTGAGAATGTTGGACCTCTCATAGGTCTGCCCAGTGCAAAGGGTCACAGGGTCTTGCATTGGCTCTAATGAGATTGGACAAATAAACACCGACGGAACGTCGACCATATCGAGCTCTTCAATCATCTTTTTCAGATCAAATTTCTCCCCGGTGGCGCTGCCGTGAACCACCCCACCTCCACCACCCAAAATCCCATCTTTCACTGCGGTTTCCAGATCCAACACCTGCCCACCACCACCCACTTCGTACCCATCTCTCCTCTTACTCAAAGGCTGATACATCGGCATTTTCACACAGCCTCTGGTCGAAAACCCAACAAAACGCTTCAAATATAGAGACCCTTTAAGCAGTACAATCGAAGAATCGTGTGGACGAAAAAAGAGAAAAGAGAGAGAAAGGAAGAGTCTTACACTCTTTTCTCTCTGTCTCTCTCTCTCTTTGACAATTACAAGCAAGAACGAACATCAACGGGAACATCTTTTCTTCATGTCTTGAGCTTTATCTGAACTCTTTTTCTCTGGTCAAAAGAGCCATATTGCCAATTTTCACTATCATCATCATGACAAAAAAGAATTTGTAATCCACTTCTCTAATACCAAAGCTCTCAACTTCCTCTTGAAGCTCAAAAAGAATGATTTTGTTCAACCCCAGATCAGGGAAAAAAAATCAAAAAGAAGCAATCGAAAGTGAGAGAGAATAAAAGAAAGAAATGATTATCCAACACTCATCAATGAACAGTGACCACTAAATTCTAAAACCCAAAATTCAAGAATTGTGACAAAAACAAGAAATTTCTAGATGAATATAGACATGAAACGATGGGAAGACTCGAGACCATAACAGGATGAGAGAGTGGGAAGAGGAGAGAGAAAAGCTACACCTCTCGTGTGTGTGTGACCCGCCCCCCTCTGCTGCTCTGGTCTTGGTCAGGTATTGAAAATTGAAAACTTTGCTAACTTTATTTATTTATGTATTCTTTTTGGCCTTTTTAGAAGAAAAAATTAAAGAAAGAAAGAACAGTTTACTGGGGAGGGTACGGGTTATAGCCGGTAATATGAGCCTTGAAGTTTGTGCACCACACGTGAGAGATATTAAAAGTCATAAAGATAACCGGTTCTCTCAATTTAATATATATTTTTTTGGGTAATTGGATTTTTTAAATTTTTTTATTTTTGTGTGATAAAGTTTTTATTCTTATTTTTATTTTTAGTGGCCTTGGAATTCACGGATAGTCAAATAGTCAAAGAAGTCGATGTCAGTTGTTGATCGGACGATCAACAGACGTAGTCTATGCGGCACAATTGTTCATGCGGAAATCTCTTTCGTGTTTGTTTTCTCACCGTTTCTTCCAATTTTTCCTTTGACAAATCGGCTCCGTTTCAGGTTCAAAACAACGAGTGAAAAAAAAAGACTTTGGAACTGGTAGGAGAGGAAATTAATTAATGTATGTGTAAATTAATTTGAATATTTTTTATTGTTAAAAAAAAAAAAATTAACGTACAAATAATAAGTGTAATATTTACACCATATTAATATTATTATTTGGTGTAATTATTTAATAATAATTCACTAAATAAAAAAAATTGAACATCACTTGGTCAAATAAGTGTCCTCCATGTAAGATAGGAATCCCTGTGTATAAGATTCCAAACAAACTACTGTTCGAATTTATATTTTGGGTTGAGATATTTTTTGTTCAAACTCAAGTTCACTATTACAAAATTGTTATATAAATAAATAATTAAAATTTGATTTGGATTGAATTCTGATAAATTAATTAAAATAAATAATTGAATTCAGATAAATTTAATTAAAATAAGTATTTTATCATTGTATGTATTTATATATGAAACTAATGTATACATAATATATGTATATATATCAAAAGATATATAAGCAAATAAGATATATTTTAACACAAATAATTAACTTTTTATCTATTTTTTTTTCAATTTTAGAAAAATTAATTTTGGTGAGTTGAAAAAAAAAGCTTATCTATCCATTTTTTCATTCTTTCCTACCAAGCATAATGTTTATTTATTTCTTAAATTTTTTATCATTCTATTTTTCAATCGTACCAACAAGAGCACAATTCTTGAGAATTTGATTTAACCTCTTTTAGCGATTGCAATCTAAGTCCTTTGAATTTGATGCATGTTTCCTTAGAATGAGTGGGTGTCTCTGTTCAACGTTTGGCGATATAGATCTAGTATATAGAGATTGGAATTTGGTAAATGTGCGTATAATATATGTTTAGTTAAGTTATTATGTTTTTATAATTTTTTATATATGATTGGTCCGATCAATTAACCTAACAGTTGAATCAATGAACCATTTACCAAATTTTCTTGTTGGTTCGATGATCGGTCTAGTTCTGATAAATTAGATTATCTAATTAGTATTAGGTCCCAACAGTAATATTGTAAAATATATCATTTTCTTAAGTAAAATATTGGTAGACATAATAATATTATTGATATATAATTTAATAATCTAATTCAATACATAATTTATATTGAATTAAATTTCGAGATAAAGCTGAGTTTTGAGTAATATTTTTTTATCAGTAATACTAGATTGATTAAATTTTAAAACTAAATTTAGAGTCCAAATGATTGGTGTGATGTTATTTAAACTTCAATAAAAATTTTAAATAATTAATTATCATATTATTTAAATTTTAAATTTAATTTCAAAATTTGATCGTGATAACGTTACTCTTTTTAATTCCGCAATATAATTAAGAGGGGGGAAGCAGGACGCCGTGGGTTATGGCCCACTTGGAGGAGCCTTTCACAAGCCGCCAGCTCGTCAATTTGACTGGTCCTGAGTGTTTGACCGTACATGTGGTAATGCCTGCACGGTTTGGCCTTTTCTTTGCTAGTATCGGGGTGTTTGACTACTTTTTTGGTGCGACTGCGACCCTCTCAATGCAATTGCTTTGCTTTTAAAAGACCGGAAAACTGACACGTGGCGGTGGTAAGCGTGCGGTCCTCTGCCTCTTTTGCTATGACAGTGCGCGCTCAACTCTCATCTCTTTGTTTAATTAAAAGGGCTAATTTCACTTTGCACCTCAAAAAATATTTTGATTCTTAATTTACACTCTTTAACATTAAAAATCTTAATTTTTACCCTCAATATTATGAATTTATAATAATGTAAATCTGAAGCTCATGAAATTAAATACCGTTCAGTTTTCCGTCATAAATTAAAGCTCATAAAGTCTAACCTTATCATGTATAATTCACATGAGATGTCAATACTTGCAATTCGTTTGCTTCAATTTACAACGAAAGAATTGAACGATAATCTGAGTAAGGTCTATATTACTATCAATTCATAACATTAAATGTGTAAATTAAGATTTTTTTTATTTGATAGTACAAATGCAGAATCAAAATATCTTTCAACATACAAAGTGAGATTACCCGTAATTAAAACTTGAATAATGTTATTTGGACCTAAAAATCTGACATAATTTACTGACATAATGATGTGGTTACATATGAATCATTGAATCAATACCAAGTTTTAATGTTTGATGGGGCCTGCAGTCAATCCAAAGATCACAATAAATTAAGTCAACAAATTACATCAATAAGTTAAATCTCAACAACATTATTGTTAAAACTTAGCCGCTTGTTTTTATGTGTCTGAATTATTTTTATTAATTTAGGAGGAAGTTGGGAGTAGAGATTTGACTAATGGTCTTGGCTGCAGAGTTTCACCGTGCCGCTGCTTTGCTTTGAATGAAGGCTTCAAATTTTATTTTTTTTTATTATTTTGATAAGATTTTATTGACTTACTCATTTTAGATTGATATCTTGTAGTTAATTACATTTTTATTCAATATTAGACCAATCTATTATGCATGAGCAAGGAGTGAACTTTTAAATAAAAGATCTCACTTGAATCTATTTTAGACGATCTCTGAATTTTGCTCGTCTCTTACCCCTAACAAATTTTGCTTATTATGTTAATTTCCAATGCAAGTGGACCCTGCCTGGTTTGTTGTGATTGGAGCATGAGGTTTGTGTTCAATTTCAGTATTAGATTCTCATAGTGTTCTTAATTTTAGAATATCACATCGTATTGAATTGAAATCGTATATATTGTTAAAGACAACACTAAGTACAAAAAATCTCAATACATTTGATAACAAGAAATTTGAATTCAAAGAACTGATAAAATTTTGTATTGTAGTGGATTTGAATTCCAAGTGTGGGCATATTATGGTATTTTATACACTACTTCTTATCGAATGAGCATAAACATATTCCAAGCTTGGATAAAAGAGTACGATTGTGTTAGATAGTTGACCATCCACATAAAATTTGTTAGACCAAACATGAACATGAATGAATAATATTCACACAAATACTTTTTATCGAAAAAGCAGGAAAATTGCATGGAGGCTATATGAAAAATGAAGTCTAAAACACCCCCAAGGAATTTCAGTAGATTTCAAAATTTGGTCAATTAATAATATTTCTTATTTGTAATTTTTTTTAAATACTTATTCACTACTTGGTTTTGAATGTTAAAGTTCATAATTTTTGTGCAAAAAGTCAAAAGTATCATCAGAATGACCTAAAATATAAAATAGAATAGGTTTCAATAAATTTATATGACTGTTTCAAGTAGACTCATCTAACGATAATCAACATCTTTCTCAAAATTATTTATATTGTATCGTGTCTTCAAATACGGATTACTCTTAGTTTGAATATAAGGGTCATATACTCTAAAGATAGATCAAGTAATAACATAAACGAATTATAAATTTAGTCCTTATGCGTTCAAATTTTAACAATTCTTTAAGGTCAGGTTAGGAGGGATATTTTTTATAAATTCTCTAAAATGCGCGTAAACTGATTCGGACACATCTAACATTTGAAAAAATAAAAATAAGAAAAAATTTCAACCACACCCCCTCTAGTTTCTGAATATTCAATGACACCGATTAAAAATATTAAGTAGAATGTAATTTTACTAAATTGCCCATAATATATTTGAGGACAAACTTCATCCATACCCCCTCTAGATAAGTATATTTTCAATAAGACCCCATCTAGATAAGTATATTTTCAATGAGACCCCTTCTGTTTTTAAATTTTTTTACTTAATTAAATTCGAATCTATTAAAATTTGATTCAAGCTAATTAAAATTTATTTTTTTACATATTAAAATTTGTGTCAATTAAAAATTATATTTTTTTATGTAATAGAATTTGAGCTAATTAAAATTTTGTTTGAGCCAATTAAAAATTATTTTGAATCGACTCAA